ATCTCCAAGTAGGCATATCAATCTGACATATGACAATCTTATTTTTGTGCACGCCAAGATCCCCCCCATCTAGAAAAAACGGTTCTCGTTCCAGTACCTACTAAATTCTAATCAGCTGGCCTTTGTTCTTTTCATAGCAGCGGAAGCTGTGGTTGGCTCAAGGGTAAAAGGTAAAAAGGCAAGTTGCTGCGAGACTAGAAAACACCTTGGAAGAGAGCCAAAACGAAGCATCCCATCGCCCTTCTGGACCATTACCTCGAAGCGAACCAACGTTTTTCTTTTTTCTTTCTGCTGTCCATCTCATGCAGGCAAGGATCTTTAAAATTGTAGATAAGCACACGTCCATCATTCTTCCCGCCCCCGCCCATCTTAGCCAAGCTTTTTCTTCTGTTTTCCTTCTTTCTGCTCGCTTAACTGGTTGTATGAGTGCTAGTCATGGGTCTTCCCTACGGCCGAGAATTACTCCTTCCTATCTGGTGCCTGGGTACTATGGCTTCGGAACAAGTCCGATGCCTCTATTGCCATGTATAGTAATACCAGTAGCAGCGACTTGTAGAGAAATTAACGGCCCTTATATATAACGTATAAGGTAATAGAGATGCGTTGCTCACCTCACCCGCTTACCACACCAGCTTACCTCACTGTCAACTTGAATTACGATATATACAAGTGGTCGTACATTTGGAAGCTACCTAGCATTATCACTACCCCCTAAACTCGTAAGCGAAGATAGAAGAAGAGAGACAAGGCAAGAGAGAGAGGCCATGTTCTATTTTCCGATTTTACATCTTCAAATGCTCTTTTCTATATGCGCTCCCTGGCCATAGGGAAAAAAAAAAAAAAGGAGAAATAACAGATTTTAGTGTTACATCGTGATATATATATATATATATATATACTATTAATACAATGCCGAGTGATTTGCTCCTCTCAACTCTACTCAACATAGCCAGACCTAGCCACACTGTTCGCAAACAATTCGCGGCATCTCACCTTGCTCTCCAGTCTTGCGCACAACAGGAATGCGCCACTCAGTTTCCGGTGCAGACTATACGTCTCTTCAGGGGGTGGAGCTAACCGCTCGTGAAGCATAACCGGGATAAGCGCCTTCACACGCTCTGTGATGGTCTGGTCCTTGAAGTCGTAAACCTCCGGGGCCGAGTCCAGGAATGGCTCCGCAAGCGTAAGCACAGATTGGATGTGAGCATCCAGCATCGTCCGGCTTTCGTGGCCTGTCAAGTAGCCTAGGCCCTCCGAAAACTTCTTCACACCCTCTCGGTCAGACCGTGATGCAGACTCGAGGAGCCGCACGTACTGCGAGATGAATTCATCCGGAAACTCCCGAGAAGCGCCAAAGTCGAGGAGCTCAAGCTTGTTACTTGCGGCGTTGTAGAGAAAGTTGGTCCAGTTGGGGTCCGTCTGCATGAACTTGAACTCTGTAATTTCCCGTAAGCAGAGCCGTAGAATCTGCGTACCGATCCAATCACGTTGCTCTTGGGTAAACGAGTTAACCCGTGTTACGCCAATACCGTCGAGAAAGTCCATGGTCAAGACTTGCTTGCCAGAAGCTTCTGGGTACACATCCGGGGCCTCGAAAACGTCTTGTTCGCCTTGGAGGAGCTGCTTGTAGCGTGTGGCGCATTCCGCCTCGCGCAAATAGTCGCATTCCCAGCCCAGCTCTAGCCTGGCGTTGTCAATTGTCTTGTTTAAATAGAGGCCCTTGGGGAGGAGTTTCGTGGCCGTGAGCAAGATGCCAAGGTTATCCAGATCCGAGTTGATGGAATCTGCCACGCCAGGGAACTGAATCTTCACCGCTACTCGTCTCCCGTTCGACTTGAGAACGGCTTTGTGTACCTGGCCGATTGAAGCAGCGGCAATTGGCTTTTCCTCGAATTCACTAAATAGCTCTCGCCACTCAGGCCCGAGATTATTGGCCAGAACCCGGTCCCGCTGCCATGCCGGCATGTAATCAGCCCGGTCCTGAACCCGTTGCAGCACTTCCTGGAGAGGGGCTGGTAGCATTTTCGAATCCTGGAAGCTCATCATTTGGCCTAGCTTCAACGCAGCACCCCTCATGCGAGATAGCTTTGCAACCAATCTCTCCATGTTCCCGCCACTGAGCAGCACAGATCCTTCACCACCACCTCCAAAGGCTCTGCTCATACTCTCTGTTACAGCACCACCCAGCATTCCAGCTGCCAGGCCGCCATAGTTTAGTATTCGACTAAAGCGGGTCGCCGGCACTTTTGACTCTCGCAGCTGATAAGTGTGCGCGCTTGCTTGTGGTGTTTCAGGAATGACTGATGCTTTCACAGTTTCAACCAATTCCTCCTGATCTACCTTGCTTGCGTCCAAACGCTCCTTTTCAGCAGCAACAGTCTCCGCCACGGGCCGAGGTTCAGGTGGTGAGGAACCCAAAGAATCAGATTGCCGTATATTTGACTGCTGAGATTCTCGGTTGATATCGTCTGCGTAGCTGTGTTTGGTTTCAGGAGCAGTTGTAGGCGTAGGTGTTGTGGCATCAACAGACTCAACGGGAGGAGGAGGAGGAGGAGGAGGAGGTGGTGGTGGTGGTGGTGGCGGCCAGTGCCGCAGTGGATGCTCCTTCGCAGCGCCGCCAGAAGAAGCCTTTGTCTGACGCTCTCCTGGCCCTCTCTGTTTGCGTAATGAATCCAAGATCTGAGAGCCTCGTGTAGTATGGAAGATGTTGACATCAACGCCTTCAGGTGCGCCTAATTTCTCATCGAGCTCCTCTTTAGTTGGTGGTTGGGTAGATGCCTGCTGCAGCCTTTGCCGGACAAAATCACCATCTGGTATTGAAGTCTTGAAAATCGATTGCTCTCGGGGCTTGAAGTCCGCAGGCTTTGACCCTTCAGGAGCCGTTGTAGATGACGCAGGCTGTGAGCTCTTCTCGGCAGCAGCCTCAGCATTTACAAACTCGTTGCTAGTGGCCTCACTACCGCTCCCTGGCTCCTTTTCTTTCTCCGGTGCTTCCTCCGTTCTCACTGAAGCGGCCGCAGCAGCGTTCCGATTCCTCAGCAGCGCCCCAACACTCGATGTCCTGCTATAGACATCGAGCTGCCGGCCGCGAAGAGCGACATGCTTGGATGCGACGGACCGGGAGGCGCTCAGCACTGCCGCGAGGTCAATCGCAAAATCCACAAAACCCATGTGGAATTGAGCAGTCACTGATCACCGGGCACACATAAAAAGATAAAAAGATCCAAAAGTCGCTTTATGAAAGTGTGAGCTTCCAGAAACGATCCGTCGAAGCTCTCATGTGAAAAAGGCAGCTAAGTTTTAGTGGTTCGTCAAAAATATGCAGTTAAGCGGGGCAGATGCGAGTTGCGGAAGCTGGATGTCATCGGCAGCCACGGGAGGTACCTGGGAGAAAGACCCATTCTATTCAAGTCTGGCTTTTGTGAGCGATCTGGATTGTATTCTAGCTTACACTAATGAATACCTAAATATAATAAACCGACAGCATTTGTACATCTCCAAGCGTGTACCAAGACATGATTTTTTGCCAATGTCCCTGTCCAGTAAAACTCCGCGCTAATAATCCGGGCTCAGAAAGAGCCTCAAAAACATTTCAAATTGATACAAAAGTAAATGCGCTGTCAAACGCTCCATTATTCTTTTCCAAGAATAGAAAATTTATCGCATGCGGCGTCGTATCTCGTCGAAATAACAAGAATATGAAGTGCGAATATGAAGTGCATCATGTTGATTTTGGTTGCACTCTGCTGACACTCTTCAAGAGCGAACTCTTTGGTTTCCTCGGAGTTGCCTGTCCAAAGGAATCCACTGCTCTCCCTCTCATCGGGGTCGCCATCTTGTTCAATAATCTTTGCGCAGCCGGCGTCAGCCCTCCTGATAGTCTGGGGCCGCTAGTGAACCTCGGCGTCTCCATCTTAGTAGCCTTTCCCGTGAATCCGTTTCGTTGGGAATCGCTTTTGGATTTCGATATTCGCTCCACCATTCGTTCATGAAGAACTTCTCGCTTTCTCTGGTCTTGTATCTTAAAGGGGTTTGTGGCATCTCCAGGCCCAAGATTAATCGGTGCTGGAAGACGTATAGATGCGGCATCATTGTCGTCGTCTTCGTCGTCCACAAAGGCGTAGCCATTCACACGAGGAGTTTCACCACCACCGACAACACTAGAGTCGGCGTCGTGTCGCCGCGGCCTACCCGCAATCGCATCACGAACCGACGACATGGTTGGTGACGGCGGTCGCTGTGACACATGCGGTTGCGGCATCCTCGTGTTCTCATAGCTGATCGACCTTGGCGCCATGCGAGAGAGCTCCTCGGTGCTTTCAGCAACGGTCTTGACCCCATCTTCTAGGCCTTCCGGCTGAAACATCAAGCCATTCCGAGGGGCGACTTTCCAAGAATCTGGCTGTGCAGGTCGCTCATCATTATCTTTGATAGCCAACCGATCTCTCTTAAATCCGTCATCGACAAGACTTCGCGTCTGTTCCAGTCTATCTGTGACCTCTTTCTGTTTGATCATTTGCTTAGAAGGAAGCTTGTTGCCGCGCCAAAGCCAATCGTACTTATCAGCCTTCTTCTGGTTCTGCTTGTCGATCAGCTTGTAAAAGCTCTCGTTATCCTCGCTGGTGTAGGTGGCCTGAAATTTGGATAGGCTCAGATTAAAGTCCGGCCGCGGCTTGTCTTGTGCAACGCTTGTTGCCACAGAGGTTGGCGTGTCGCCGACAAAGCTGGTAGGAGTCCTGTTGCCGTTCATGGTATTGAATGATGGCGCCGGGGTTGATTTTCGACCAGGCGTCATGACGTGGCGAAGCCTCTGGCTGGCGCTTGATATCCAGGCAGCGTCTTTCGACTCCATAGCGTCCAGGTACTCCTGCTGGATCTGCGTCTCTAATAAGCCTGGGAAGAAGTCCCTTGCGATAATCTGAGAGAGCGCCTCGGTGTAAGTGTCCTCGTCTAGCACTTTCTTGGGTCTTTTGATCTTCTTTGCGCGAGGCGGAGGCGGCATCAGGGCTGTGTCGGTGCTCTTACGCACCAGGGCGTTCGAGGACCCGGCCGTGGAATCCATCGCCGACCGTGGGAGGAACAGAACCTGCGACACAAGATCTATCCGCTGTATGATATATCTCTTTATGCCTTTATTGCTTCTCCTTTTGATTTTCCTGTGATGCGATTTGTCGATGGCTTCTTTGTTTTGATAATGTAAGAGTTGAAACAAAGTCTAAAGTGAGTCGTCGAAATCACGGGCAGAGCCGCTTGGTACTAGGCCGTTGGAAGTACTCCGGACTACTACCGTCGCAGTAGCAGGGTTCCATGTCACTCGCCCCACTCGCCACCAGATGTACTTGAGGCTGCTAATGATGCATTGTTGCATCTATCCGAAGCCAATGCCCAAACGCTGCAAAAGCCACAGCCTAGCCTTAGGGCTGCCGCGCCTGGGAACACGCCGTTAGCAGGCGCTGGAGATACCCACAGGGCACATGGCAGCGGCAATAGCACAGTGCTCACAGGGGGACGAGCCTATAAAGCCACGGCTAGCCTGCTCGCCTCCTCATCTGGACTCCCTTGCTAGCCCAATCCAGCGGTTTCGGCAACCCACTTCTGGCATCCCCAGTTTATCGGATTCTCTTTAGTTTTGGGCACTATTGCGAAAAGTCCGACCCGTTCGTCTGTCTCAGATCTTTCTCTACCTGAAGGCGCTCGTGACGTTGACCGGCCGAGGAGAAAGAGCCGACGTTTCTTATACACGGCATCTGTTGCAACCCCCCGATTCTCAGGTCCTGCGAACCTCCCCCACCAAGGTCTGGCGCACGCGATATCGTATAATCCCGGCATATACCTTTTTCTTATCTCTCTGCGTGCTCCAGTCCTGGGTATCCCGCTTCACAATGTCGCAAACAGCCGTCGACCTCAAGAACCAGGGAAACAAGGCGTTCGCTGCTGGTGATTGGCCTACGGCGATCAGTTTCTATGACAAGGCCATCGCGGCAGACGCTACCGAGCCCACATTCTTTACCAACAGAGCCCAGGTTCGTGACAACCTATCTTGACCCGCTCTCAGGAACCATATTCAGGAACCATATAACTGACTGGCTGCAATTTGCTCTATAGGCATACATCAAGACTGAAGCATACGGATATGCCATTGCCGACGCTACCAAGGCGATCGAGCTCAACCCAAAGCTGATCAAGGTATAAGCCCGCGAATACCACACGTAAAAGAGCTGGGAGGCTAAGAACTATGGTCTTTCGACATCTAGGCATACTTCCGCCGTGGCCTCGCCCGAACTGCCATTTTAAAACCGAAGGAAGCCATCGAAGACTTCAAAGAGTGCGTCCGGCTAGACCCCACCAACAAGGATGCGCGGCTCAAGCTAGAGGAGTGCAAGAAGATTGTGCGCCAGTTGGCCTTCTTTGCCGCCATCGAAGTTGGAGACGAGCCCTCGGCTGCTGAAGGACTTGATCTGGAGTCCATGGTTGTTGAGGAGGGCTATGATGGAGTGGCGCTAGGAAATGAAATGACACAAGAGTTCATCGACGATATGATTGAGAGATTCAAGACCGGCAAGCTCATTGCCAAGAAATACGTCTATCAGATCCTCATTGCTGTCAAGAAAATCGTATATGATGAGCCTACTATGGTGGAAATGGAAGTTCCTGAGGGCGTTGAACTCACCGTTTGTGGCGATACCCATGGTAGGCAAAACTTGGTCAATTTGACTGTGCCCGGATGCTAACATTTGTCGAATTCAGGCCAGTACTTTGATCTTATGGAGCTGTTCCGACGGAACGGCCACCCATCAGATAAACATTGGTACTTGTTCAACGGCGACTTTGTCGACAGAGGATCCTGGTCCACCGAGATTGCACTATTACTCTACGCCTATAAGTGGCTGCGACCCAAGAACTTCTTTTTGAACAGAGGAAACCACGAGACAGACGACATGAACAAGGTATACGGCTTCGAAGGCGAGTGCAAAGCCAAGTATAATGAGAGGTAAGCGTCTCCCTGTCCGAACGGAATCTTGACACGAATAGTATGCTGACACTCCCCACAGAATTTTCAGGTTATTTTCCGAGAGCTTCTCTGCATTAGCTCTGGCAACATTAATTGGATCTAAATATCTGGTTCTCCACGGAGGTCTGTTCTCCGATGATAAGGTCACATTAGATGATATCCGAAAGCTGAACCGACACTCGCAACGCCAACCTGGCCAGGCGGGGTTGATGATGGAAATGTTGTGGACTGATCCTCAAGATGAGCCCGGCCGAGGACCCAGCAAGCGAGGAGTCGGCATGCAGTTTGGCCCAGACGTTACCAAGAGATTTTGCGAGAACAACGGCCTGGAAGCTGTTATTCGAAGTCACGAAGTGCGCATGGATGGCTATGAAGTACAACACGATGGCAAATGCATCACTGGTTCGTCATCTCCCATTGATTGACTATTCTTATATCATGTAACGGTAACGCTAACAGCCGTGCTCTTTAGTCTTCTCTGCTCCGAGATATTGCGACTCAACTGAGAATAGGGGTGCTTACATCAACATCGGACCTGATTATAAGCTCCGGTATGAACAGTTTGACGCGGTACCACACCCCAACATTCGGCCGATGGTGAGTTTTCCTTCTGCAACACCCCACAATATCTATATTTCTCATTCTTGCTATGAACATAATGGAGTCTAACGCGATCTGCAGGCATATGCCCAAAACTCCCTTATGTCATCTCTAATGTAAAGTCTCCGGGTTGAGGGTAGAGCGGAGGAAGAAGGATGTATATGAGCTAGAGGCATATATATACCCCTGCTTCTGGGTATCCAACAGACTATCAAAAACAGTAAAAAGTAAAATGAAGAATAAAACACGGCCAGGTAAAAAGGCGGCACTTAGATATACCCTTTGCGGTTAGATATTTTAGGTTATGCAGCACCAATGCCTCAGTCATTATTCCACAACTGATCTTGTCCATCGCTTCCGGCCATTGTACCAAGCCAGTCAGAGCATTGTTTGATACGTAAAAGGCGCTTGACGCCCCCATCACTCGTGCCTTTCCAGGCAGTAAGCGCAGCAGCAAACGGGCCAAGGTCATCTCGAGGCACTCGGATCCAGCATGCAGATGCTTCAACTTTGAGTATATCGAGAGAGATTGCAGTTCCTGTTAGTCCAAGAAACTGGGTTAGAGCGGCCGTGCAATAAGACTTGACTTGAAGGTTGTCCAATTCAACAGCTGCACCGGGAGGATCTGTCAAGAGCTCTAGATGGATGTATGAGAAGGACGGTGTTTTGATGGTGCATGTGAGGAGCTCGTGAGATTTTTGCAGTCTTGGCTTTTCGACTACTGATCTCTCTGTGTCTTGGCTATTGAATTGATCCATCGTTTAGGGCGTCTAGACGAAAAGAAATAGAGCTTTTATAGAGTTTGGAGTGCTGGTTGAATGTATCTAAAGGGTGAAAATCTAAGTTGCGTTTGTTGCATGGTTTTTTTTTTGGGGGGGGATAGCGTAGTTGATGAATATGTGCAAGTATACAGTTGGAGCGCTTCTGGCAGCAGAATGAGATGTGACATAAAGCACTTTCATACTACAGAGTACGTAAAAGGAGGGTATTACTTTGAATTCAATGTTACATATTCTATGTAATTTAATCTAATTCATCAGGTTCGAGTATACGGCACTTCATCTTCGTCAGCTGTACATGTACATACACCTGGGCCATCCACGCCTCGGAAGCAATTCCGCACTAGCGCTCCTCCAACGCCTTTCCCTTTCCGCCACAGCGATTCCCTTCATCCAACCTCTCAGCCTTGCCAACTCGAGACTCCTTCACCAAACCGTTGCATATTCGCCATCCATCGCACAGCCATGTCCAGCTTCGTCACCCCCGGCCAGCAGCGCTACCTGCGCGCCTGCATGGTCTGCTCAATCGTTATGACATACAGCGTAAGCGCGCCTACAGAACCTGGCATACAAACGAGTCCAGCTCCCAACGCTGCTTCTTACTGTTGGCTAACCCACAAATCCGCGCCCGCCTGCGAATAGCGCTTCCGCGACGAAGGATGTCCCAACTGCGAAGAGTTCCTACACCTCATCGGCTCGCAGGACCAGATCGAGAGCTGCACGTCGCAGGTCTTCGAGGGCCTGATAACGCTCGCCAACCCTTCCAAGTCATGGGTGGCCAAGTGGCAGCGTCTGGATAGCTACGTGCCCGGCGTGTACGCGATCAAGGTTTCGGGCCAGCTGCCTGATGAGATTCGATCATCACTGGAGGATGAGTATAGGATACAGTACATCCCGTATGTCTATTCTATCGCGAGATACGGCGATGCCTTTTACGTTGGGGTGGGGTGGGAAAGAGACAACAAGATGGCTGACTTGATGATTTTTAGGAGAGATGGCACGCAGACCGAAGCCGATGCTTAAACGAGCGAAGATGGATATTCACAGCATAATTTGGCTTACAACAAAGGGAAGGCGAATACGGCGTTTTGGTAATAGAAATGAGTTTTTGGAAGACCAAGATATGACAATATCCAAGTTGTTGTTTAGTCATTATGGTATCTATGGTTATGCTATACGCAGCAAAAAAATATATATATATCCGTTCCCATATACAATATACAAACGCTCTATCAAATGTGAAAGGAGAAAAACGCCACCCATTATTCGCCATGCCCGAAATATGCCGTGTCTTTTCTTAATGATTTCTTTGCTTTTTGCCACTGGGCATTCCAAAACCGACCGAACCGCTTGGCCTTTTCCTTTCTAGCTCCTCCTTCATGATCCTCTCTGCTTCGCTCATCTTCTTGGGTTGCTGTATTAAAGAACCCTTCTTCGACCCCGAAGCCAACGCGTTCTTCTTTGCTTGGGCAAACACATTCTTCGTCTGTGGCTTGTCACCAAGCTTTAAGGATATCCCACCGAAGCCTCCTTTACTCGCGGCTGGCTTTGACTGTTCTTTTGGCGCATCGGAATCTGCTTGCTCGCCCTTGTCGGCGTCTGTTGATGCCTCTGACTTCTCCTCTGTTACTTTCTGGGCCTCCTCCGGCTTAGGCTTCGTGCCAAAAGACAGCTTAATTTTTTCGCCATCCTGTCTTTTGAGCTCTCTGCCCTCTTGTTCCTCTTCTGCTTCTCCATCGCGTTTACCGGCGGCTTGCTCGGCTCGCTTGATCTGCTCTCGAATCATACGCTGCTCAATTTCTTCGTCGCCTTGGTCTTGCGCTTCTTTCCGCCTCAGGGCCTCTTGCCGCCGCAGGGCATCAGGGGAGTTATCGATCCAGCTGATGTGAAATCCCTTTTCGTTCTCCTCCACCCGACACATTCCCTCTCTTCCCAAATATTTGGCAAATTCGGTCAGCGACGGCCATTTCGTCGCGTTCATGTGAATGTGCTCTTTGTTGGCAATGTATTCTTGGTAGAAATGGTTAATCTGCACCTGTTTCTCTCCATGACCCGTCTTCAATAGCTGCAAAAAGTCCTTTAGGAACTCGTCGCTGTATTGGTTGATGTATTTCTTCGGGTCCTCGCCGACGACGAGCATTTGTCGCACGTGGCCTTCAGACTGGGTATGCATTTTGAATCCATTGGCATCGCGGCACTGCTTTTCGCAAACTTGGCAATACCATCTTAGACGCTGGAGACCCTTTGACTTGAGCCTGTTGCTCAAGTATTTCGTCGAGCCAACTTCGGCTTTGGGCATATTGAAATCTTGGCGCGAAGAATCGGAATCGGAATCGGTTGCTCAAGTTCTTCGCGTGTAGATATTGCGATTTGACAGTTAGAAAAGTAAAAGTCGTAGGAGCGTGCGATAAAGATTGGGACACAAATGTTTATGGAGATGGTGACGGTAGTTATCTCTGGGGCTCAGCCTTGCAGTGGAAAAGAAAGCTAAATCTTATCGCCCCATTATACAACCCATTACCGAGAATTTTCCGACTCTATTACCTCAGCCTTATGGCTGTCAACAATAATTCCAACGATGATGCGAGCTAGCGCTAGTTTGGTTTACATGTTTAGCATCTACATCAACTCAACGCCTTTCAAGATTCCTCACACACGCCACTCAGCTTCTTCCTTCATAATCTTCTTTGGCGACGACTATCGCTTACCATTACCTCATCCAAACCACCACGATACTCTATCTGATCCTTTTGCACAATGTCTGAGCGTAAAGTCCTTCAGGTAAGTACTCGGTGATTGTGGCAAGTATCTATCAAATCTTCATAGGCTAACCATTAAAAAGAAATACTACCCTCCAGATTTCGATCCCAATGATATCAGTCGCCGCCGAGGGCCCAAAGCTGCTGGGCCGCGAATCCAAACCGTCCGACTCATGGCTCCTTTCTCCATGAAGTGCTTGAGCTGTGGTGAATACATCTACAAGGGGCGCAAATTCAATTCTCGCAAAGAGATCCGACCCGACGAAAAATATCTCGGCATTCAGATTCTTTTCTTCCACATAAAGTGCACAAGATGTAGCGCCGAAATTACTTTCCGTACGGATCCACGAAACACAGACTATGCGATGGTCAAAGGCGCCATGCGATCATTTGAGCCGTGGAGAAATAGAGAATTGGCCGAGGAGACGGTAGAGGAAAGGCTAGACAGGCTAGAGCGAGAGGAGGCTGAGGCTGCTGGCGAAGAAGAGAAGAATGCGATGGAGGACCTTGAGGCAAAGAACGCCGATGCCAGACGCGAAATGGCTGCAGCTGATGCGCTCGATGAAATAAGACAAAGAAACGCCAGGATACATCGATCTGAAAAGGAAGGGACTGACTTCGCGGACACCATCGTTCGTTCTGAAGATGAGGAGCGGGAACGACAAGAGAGAGAGGACGATGAAATCGCTAAAAGGGCTTTTGCGGCAGCCAAACGGTTAGGCAACTCTACCCTTGATAGCATAGGCGAGACGGAAGAGACGGCTGCTGAAGGCACTGAGCTTCCAACCTCGATCAATGGCGACAACACACCACAGAAGGCAGTATCGTCATTAGAATCGAGCACAGCAGAAACCTCGATGCCACCGCCGTCACAGCCGCCATCATTCAAGAGAGTGGTGAAGAAAAAGAAAGACCATGCTGCGTTGCTCGGTATAAAGAAGAAGCCTTCTCTAGTATAAAGGCCAAGAGGGCTTTTCTGATGGGAAGAGGTGTTACGGCGCTCATCGTGTGTTGGAAATATGGGTCATGGAAAAATTGTTACCTACTAATATTTGATTTATTTTACGACGATATGAATATAGGCGATGCTAATATTACCCAGAAGGAATTACGCTCATTGCCTGGCTAAATTGCATCACAACACTGTTTCGTAAACTGACCAACATGCACTGCCAATTTGTTTTTAATGCTAGATAGAAAAGAAACGAATTGTAAATTTGTATAGAAAGATTACCATTGAGATTGGAATCAAGCTAATACCAACGTGTTTCGTTAGCTGCCATTATCATGTACGGAGGCTTTATAGCCAGGCAGCTCTTCTTGCCCTCAAATATATATATATACAATCATGTTAAACCACTCCAATATAAACCCAGCATATTAGCCCTGTTATTATTCCTTCCCGGCGCCATGCGTGTATCGTGTAATCGTAAAAACAGAAATGGTATAAACAAAACGAGCGACAGGAACAGTGAGTGGCTCAGGTCAGCTCGTCATCGGAATTGACGCAAATGTTACTTTTTTGCTATGGTGGTGGTAGAGTAAGTCGTGTTCGGTGATGAGGCTTGCTTGTACGCCATTCTTGATTGCTGCGGATATATCTATGGTTTTTGCCATAATGGCAAACCCACGCACGCGCGAGGCGAGTCAAAAAGTCATGATCGAAAGAGAAAACAAAGCACTGCTAAGCAATTCCAAGTCGAGCATCTGTGAAACTAATTGTTCCCGCTTCCCAAGACAGTCGCCGCACGCAAAGGCGATGGGGCTAAATCGGGGGAGCGGCGCCGTTGGTCATGGAAGTGCCGCCGACTGAGGATCGGGATGAGGTGCTGGAACTTGAAGACGACAGGGCACCAAAAGCTTGCATCTGGCGTTTTGTGTGGTCGTGGATGAAGCGAGAGTAGCTGGAGATGCTCTGTGGCGGCGAAGGTGCGGGGAGGGAGACGGTGTAAGCGTCTTGCCTGGCGGGCATCATGAGGGGTGGTTTGTTGAAAAGAGTCTTTGGTTGTGTCGTGGTGAAATTGTAGAGGTGATGAGATGCTTGATCTCGTAGCTCTGTCCAGTAAAGGGGGGGTCGTTCGTTCGTTGGAGTGTTGGTGCCGAACGACGTCAGAAGGAAGAGGTAAGAGAGGAAAGAGAAGATGGTTGAATGTCGACGATTATATATTGGTGCGTTGCTGGCCAAATGGTGTGTTATGAAGAGTAGTGAGACAAGGCTGAGAAAATCACACGATGTCACTGCTTGCGGGCTATAAGTGAGGAGCGAGGTTGAGGTGCGGATCTCAGGGTCTTTTATAAATCAGACAGCCAAGCTTTCTTTTCCCCCCTCACTTGAGCAGCCATGGCCATCCAACCACCACTGCGGCACATGCAAGCAAGCAAGCATAGCGCTGCTAGTCATCTAGGGGTCTAGAACTAGGGGACAGGGCCTAGGGGCGCGGAGGGGGGGTTGATCCTCGCCAGACCGTGACGCTCACAGCTTTTTTTTCTTCCTCCTTGGCTCTCCAATTGTCTTCCAACGCCCGTACATGGCACGAAACACGCACATACACGGCACCCCCCCAGACTCGCCAAACCAGTCGCAGACGCAGCTGACGGGGGTGGCATCCTGTCCGCCCTAGACAGCGAGCTGATCGGCATCTGAGCGAATCGACCAACGGTAGCGCAGGTCAAAATGGCGTAAGTCGACAAGGCCTGTTCCCTGCTCGATCCTCCCCGCCGCACGTTTCTCCTCTTTGGCCACCACCATCGATGCTGATAGTCGCCCTGAGAGCCGCTTCGGTACTGGCACGGCTCCACCTCGCACACCCACTCTTCTGCACGAGCTTCGACACCCTCTTTTTTGCTGTTTCGTTCAGGGTCCTTGCGAGCCCCACGCCGCCACAGCAAGTTCGATGAGGTTGTTTGGGTCATGGAAGTGCATACTTGGAGGTTGAGTGCTTTTCGAAGCCGGAAATGGGAAGGGGACCCAGATGCAGAGATCGTCCGTTTTGCCCACAGGCCCGGAGAAGCTTCTCTTCCCAAGCTTGTCGGCCAGAGACCCTGCCGATCGGAATCATCATGCTCGTCACCTGGATGTCATACCGACCCTCATTGCCCGCTTTGAAGGCTTGGACTTGGAGCAAGCTGTACTGTGCAGGCCGGCCAGGAATTCGAATTACGGGGCCACCATCTGTTCTTTGGCCAGCCGGCTTGGGCGCCATGGCTTTACTTGCTGCTGCTGCTGCTGCAACTACTACCACTATGTAGGTACTACGACGCTGATGCTTGCGGAGCTACTGCGATTCATACGTAATGGCACACTACTCTCTTCACAAGTTGGTGCGCACCCGCATTGGCGTTCCAGCAAACGAATAGGCGACCTCGTTGGGCCACTGTTTGACGAGGTTGAATTGTTCGAGGCCCTTCTCTTGCCGCAGCAGCTGAGCGGCCATGCAGCATTCGTGCAGGCTCACAGCAATTGTTCTTCATTATTCAGCATCTGTCAATGCTGGAAACCGGGGCTTCCGGATATCCTCATGTCCTCATTGGCTATTGCTTTTGAAGAAATGCACAGTTAGCGCAGCCGTGTATACGCCCACAGATCTTGAATGAGGACAGACAGCCTGGACTAGATTGTCGACTCGCGTGATTACCAATTGAGGATGCTTCATTTTCTTTTAATGATTCCCTGCAGAACAGGGTCCAAGCAGAAATGGTCCAATGAGCTACCTCTTGTCATTCCATCGAATCGTGCCGGGCATTTTGCATTTGCCCTTGGCTGTGAGGCTCGACCCTTTGACCTACCATTACGGGATGCACCTGTGCTATAACCTATGATCTCAAACTTCAAACCCAATAGTGCCGTACATCGAGATCAAGCCACGGATCCAGTTCAAACGGCGCCTCTTGAGACCACCCAATTATAGAAGCAGCTTATTCTTCGCCATCTCGAAACAAAATGGCGGCCAAAGCCTCTACCCGCCTGTCCTTATCCGACCTCTCCTCATAGATGAAGTCACACAGCTGGAGAGGGAAACAGTAACGGCCAATGCCGTTGTAGCGACGGTGGCCGTACTGTAACAGGGCTGGTATGGACATTACCTGAGCAGTCATGTCGCCAAAAAACAGGGTCTGGATAAACGATCAGCACACAAAACTCTAGCGTATACCTGAGCACCACTACCAGATTCTTTACATGCAATGATGCTCATATTACAACAACGTGTGCACTTATTCCTTACCACACAGCAGCTCACCGTCTTGTGATGTCACGCAATACCCCACCATCAAAACGGTGGCGGCAGTCCAGTTTTCAAAACGCTGAGAGTTACGGGCGACGTTTTTGCCTCTTCCGTCACAAGGCCCACATAACATCGTCGACGGCCTAACAGCATCGAGATAGCACTACCATATCAAACGTTCATCCTATCATCATATACTGGAAGCAAGGCAGAATAGTGTTGCCTCTGATGGGCATCATACCTACCCAGACAATAACCAGATACCACCGTATTCCGTATGGGAGTGAGGAATCGATAGGTTGTTTGAGCATTTTGTCATTGGCTCCACTACAACCTGGTTCAAGGTTCCTGCGTCACACGCCTGGGATCGACATCCAAGCAGCCAGGCTTCGAGATGCTTCTCTTTCCCAAGCGAATCAAGCTTTTTCATCTATCACATCCGTCATTTCGCCGACTTTGACGGATCCACCATCCTTGTTTTACCTCTTGAGGCTACGATTCTTACCATGTTACGCGGCACTATCCGTGAAGTTGAATTTTACTTTCACCTACCTACGCGTATTTGACAAAGCCAACCAGAGTTGCTCGATCTGCGGAGTCCATGGTCGTTCACCCAGATCTTGTGTGGCATATCCACCGGTCTTGCCTTTCTACGCCTGCTATTCTACACCCCACCCCTGGCCCTTCGCTTCCGTTTCTATGTGGTAAAGCATGGTGATCCGAACGAGTGGCCACCTGAAATGTTGCATTGTACTAGCTGTAGTCGTGAGCAAACTTGGTTTCAGCCAGAGCCGCACCTGATTACCCCCTGTTGATATCTGGAAAGCGAGAATGATTCCATCCCCCTTATGTGTAAATTGCACAACAACATCTGCAGTTACAGAACGGTGGTCATTTCTCATTCTCAGCGCCATCTTCAAGTCAAGGACGAGTTAGATATGTTGAACCAATTTGCGAGGCATCAAAGAGGTCAACATTTCTAATACTAGTATGGTATTACGTAGTGGTTGATTGTGGAGAGCGATGGACACAACATGCTGCCATTCACGTCATATCGCCTCAATTGGGGTATGACGCTGTGCGAGCTTGATACGTGCTCGCCGCAGTGTAAGAGAATCTACTTCGAAGCTACGCACAGTCTGTGTATATGAGAGCCTACTCAGACATGAACCATTCTAAGAGGGCTAAGTCTCCAGCACGATGATGAAAATGGCGCCGAAACCCTGACACACAAGGCTATCCGCCACTTGAAGAGCGCCAGGGGTCGTCACATCCCGATGTGTGACAACGTGGCAATCCCAACAACTATTGTTCAAAGATATTGCAGTGATGCGACATTTTTTTTTTTCTATTTGCTTCTGATTCTCGATATCTTGATGCGAAGAGGCCGCATTCGTCAGAGCTGTATCTTCAGCTTCGACTTTGGACTTGGGACAGCAGACTAGACATGCCTTGACTCACATGCAAGCTACGACATGCCTTGCCTCAATCACATGTTCACCGGTGTGGTTTTCAAAAGACAAATGAGGTTGGTTAGTAATCAAATCCATCGAGATACCAAATGGGCAGCGGTAGAGTTTGTCTCGCCGCCGCGGTGATCAATGACCTCACAAGAGGGGGAAGACGATATGCCTCAAGCCGTCCTCTGGAGTTCGAGCACTCAGAGTCAGCCAATGACGCATCTAGTAGTAGTTAGAGGAGATCTGCGATTCAGGCGAATTTGGCTGCCACTACATCCAAACTTAATTCTGGGTATAGCGTTGGATTGATACCGAATCGGTGACGATGCTTCTGCTGTCCATGTCGGGTCAATTCATTGCAACTTCACGCCACGCAGACACAAAACTCATTTACAATAGGAAAGGAGAAAAGAGACGCAAAAGAAGATGGTCATGGGTGTATCGCCTGCGTCATCTCACGCCTGCGGAACTGCAAACAGCGACAGGGATTAACATTCTACTCTGTACTCTCATCATAACTTCGTTACAGGGTGTATTTGGGGTGAGAGGGGGACAGCCCTCCAACTCTAATGACGTCTCGACCTCCTCTCTAGCGAAATAAGTTCCTTCTTCTCCTTTGACGCCACCTTCTTTCTCTTTCGCTCAATAGCCTTATCGACTTGAGATTTATTCATGTCGGCATATCTGTTCATCAGCAGTTGTTTCTTCTGCTCGCTCTTGCGCAGATAGAAAGGCTGCTTGCCCTGCGCAACAAGCTCCTTTTCCTTCTTTCGGTGCTCCTGAAGCAGCTTGGCCTCATCCTCCTTCTTCTGGCGAGCCTTCTTCTTGGACTCCATAGACAGCAGCTGCCGCTTCAGGTCTTCCTTTGCAGTGACGTCCTTGGTCTTCTTGATCTGCGCCCGCAGGTCTGCCATCTCGCTCTCGCGGTACTCTTCCAAGAAAGCGTAGTTCTTGGCAACCTTTGCTTCGTCTAGTCTACCTGTCAGGGCCTCGAACCGTGGATCGCGGGCCTTGCGGCGCGGATCGGTGAGAATTTCGCGGCGCCTGCTGACGGGCTTCTTGGAGCTCATTTCCTGCGGCGCATGTTTGGAGCTTCGTTTCGCTGCTTCCACTCGACTTGAAGGTTTCTTTTGTTCTCGTCTTAACGGCTCCTTTGTTTTAATGTTGGATGGGGCGTCGTCTGGCTCGGCATCGCCCTTATTTTTCTTTTTCTTTGAAGGTAGGCTGGCTGCCGCACGCGACAATGCGCCAAAAGATATGGATGAGAAATCCACTTTTGATTCTTCCTCTTCAGGTTCTTCAGGCTGTTTCAGAGCTCAAGGTATTAATACCAGTAGTCACGTAGAGATGTAAAAAGGGAGTTTTTCAGGTTAAATAACGCATACCTCTGAGCCAGAGTCTTGCTCATCTGAGTCTCCATCTTTGTCGCTGTTGTCACCTCCCTCTTCTGACACCTCTTCTCCTGAATCTTCATCGCTGGCACTCAATTCTGGCTCCCATTCTTCTTCTCTTCGGGCCCGTACGCGCCTCTCCAAGCCTAAGGAGGTGGATTTTCTTTTGGAAGACATATTGTGAGTGAAAGCTGCGTCAATGTGTTGTAGAGCACTAAATAGCTTCTTCTGCCAAAAGCTGCGACAGTGTTATCGCAAGTAATTTTTCTGGAGCTGGCGATAAGCAACAATTCAATTTATCGATAAGGACCCCTGTTCGCGGCAGCCATTTAGCGGGCGATTTATGCAAGTAACCCACAATTATTTCAGCGGGGCATCATTCATTAGCGATTAAAGATTCAACGCCAAAGCCCGAATCGTTCTAGAAGAAAAAAGGGCATCTCGGACATCCCGCATAGAATTAAAGCGCCCGTTTGCAACAACTCCAAGACCCTTTGATGCGGCCGCGCAAGATATTCACAGGGCTTGGCTGCTCCATCCGCGCTGTGCCTTTCCAGCTTCGAATCCGGCAATACTCCACTCGACAGTCGAATTCTTCATCTCACAATCTCTCTTGGCGTCAATCGCTTTCAACGACAAAGACAGCCAGGTCACAGGCGACGGCTCAGAAGCTGCTGCTGCAGCCGCCCATTTTACATTCTTCGACTGCATATAATTACACGCCACAGAAACGCGACAAGATGAAGCCTCAAAGCATCCAAATCCCAGGGCTGACGCTGCTTAACAATCTGACGCCCCATGCTATTGCGCCAACATCTGAAGGCGGCTTCATCAGCGCCGGTGCGGCTCCTAAATCGCAAGTCGCTGCGACAACGGCAAAGACGACAATCCCACCTCCGAAAAAGAAGGAGAACAAAAAGGCAAAGGCAAGAAGGTTATTAGCAGAGGCGCAGGCACAGGCGCAAGCACAAGCACAAGCAGCTGCGAGTCATAATGGGTATGGGCACAATCAAGACCAGTACGAATCAACCTTCTTTTCTTTAGCTCTTGCTTTCTTCTATGCTCCCTTTCTGTCAAACAAATCGAAAACTAACCAGCGCGTCTACAATTATACAGGCTCTACAACCGCACTGGCCCCAGCCTTAAGAGCAATATCAACAACAACGCCATCCGACGAGCCCCTCCAACCGGCCCTCGCATCCTCACCAAAGACCCCCCTCGAGACCCGCGCGTCGCCCCAAGCAAAGCATCCGGCGGCATCCCCGATCCCTCGCCTCGCTACATGGCCCAATCCCTAACGCCCTCATCCTGCCTCCGCCAGCCGCGCCGCATCTTCGTCATCATGGACCTCAACGGCACGCTCCTCTACCGCCCCAACAAGCGCAACCCCTTCAACTTCATCCAGCGGCCCCACGCGCGCGAGTTCCTCGACTACTGCATCGACACCTTCCACGTCGCCATCTGGTCCTCGGCCCGCCCCGAAAACGTCGACAAGATGGTCGCGCAGCTGCTCTCCCCCGCCCAGCGCGCCAAGTGCGTCGTCATCTGGGCCCGCGACAAGCTCGGCCTCTCCCCCGCCGACTACTCCGCCCGCGTCCAGGTCTACAAGCGCCTGACGGCCATCTGGAACGACCCCCGCGTGCTGGCCTCCCACCCGGCGGCCGCCACCCACGGTCAGCGCTGGGACCAGACAAACACTGTGCTGGTTGACGACTCGGCCGAGAAGGGCCGCAGCGAGCCGTACAACATCCTCCAGTTGCCCGAGTTTGAGGGCCTCAACACCGAGCCGTTGGATGTCCTTCCGCAGGTTCACGACTACCTCAATACGCTGTGCTATCAGACCAACATAAGCAGCTACATACGCGATTGTCCTTTTAAGATCAACCCAAACTATACGTTAACGCCTTCACAAGATCTCCATATAGGATAGAGAGAGAGAGAGAGAGACTACTAGCTCATCGCATACGACATCGAATACACAGCGTACACTTTGCTGAAGCCTATTAGGGCTTCATGTCTCCTAGATAGGTAGATTCGGATATTCTCTAAGAGTTTTTCATAAGGCCACTTAGAGTGGCAAGTAGATAAAGTCTTTCATAGACTTTTTAGATACCCCTCATACCTTTTCTTATTGTTTTTTTTTGTTCTCTACACACATGCACACACACATTGAAAGAAGTTGGTACAAGAGTAAAAACTCGTATTTTACGGTTTTGGATTTTGAGTCCTGCGCGGTCCTAGGCCGCTGCTTTCTTAAAGGACTATGTAGGTATTCGTAAAAACACATCCCAAATCATCATTCATTCCCACCAATTCTGGTATTTTTTTTACCCATAACCCGTTAACATTTCATTCCTTTCAATCACCACCGTCGTTGGTCGTTTATTTGAAGACCTTGCCGTCGGCGTGGGGGTACTCCTTGCCGTTGACGGTGACGGGCTTGTCCCAAGACCACTGAGCCTCAACGTAGGCACGGTCCTCAGGCTTGGAGGGGTCAAGCTTGATGAACTCGTAGCTCTCGTAGTCGGGAGCGACGTCGAAGACAGGGAGATACTCCTGGCCACGGACGACGAAAGCACCCTCGATAACGGAGTCGTTGTTGGCACCGTAGACGGAGGCACAGCCGAAGAGGTACTTGCGAGAAGCCTCCAGACGGTTGTTGAAGCCGCCGATGAGGTTGTTAGACATGAAAGTCAGGGTAAGCTCATCGTTGTACTTGTAGGCAACCTTCCACAGGGAGTACTCCTCGAAGTTGACGTTCTCCCAGAACCACTTGAGGGCCTCGGGGGTCTCGCTGTTGGAGTACTGACGCTTCCACTCATCCAGAGGAAGAGAAGCCTTGGGCAGAGACTCAAGGGGGTGCTTGGCCTTGGGGGCAGCCTCCTCCTCGGGCTCAGCGGCCTTGGGAGCGGCGGCGGGCTTAGGGGCAGCAGCAGGCTTGGGAGCCTCAGGCTTCTTGGGGGCGACGTTGGTCAGGGCAGGGGTGTCCAGGAAGGGGAGCTTCTCGGCAACAGCAGTGTAGATGGGCTGGTTGACGATGGTCTCGTACCAACGAGTGACAGCGGGGTGCTGCTGGCGCCACTGCTTGTCGAAGAAGTACTGGAAGCCACGGTAGAGGAGGCCAGCGCTGAAGAGATCAGCGAGGGTGATGCGCTCGCCGACGAGGTAGGTGTGGTGGGTGAGGTGCTCTTCAGCAGCATCAACGGCAGCAGCAACCTCCTTGGCGGTGTCATCAACAGCCTTCTTGTTGTAGGGCTTGGTGCCAATCAGAGGGGCAACCCAAGCACCGATCTTAGGGGCGACCTCGGAGTTGAAGAATGACATCCATCGCAGGATGGAAGCGTAGCTATTCAGGTTGTTAGGACTGGGTTGAGAGCCATGGTTGGAGGGATATGAGTCACTTACTCCTGCTTGGTCTTGCCGAGAAGGGTGGTCTTCTCGTTCTGGGAGGTGACTGTATCATCAAGTTAGCTAGAGTGCCACATATTTGACCCTAGAGGTAGAAATTGATGATAAAAAAAGAATAGGAAACGGGCAAGATCAGAAGTTGACGTTATCAACACAAAGAAGAGTTATAAATTTATACAGTTCTTTCAGACAGGGATAACTAAAAAATTTGTTCATCATTTTGCTAGCGGCCGTCCAAGAGGAGGGCCAGCCAGACGCGGCAAAAATTGAGAGCAGGAGAGGGGAAATTGCTGCCTGTATCAATCAATATACATACCGTAGATGGCGATAGCAATGCTCTCGCTCAGGGCGAAGCCATCCTCGCCAATGAAGGCAGGGAACTTGCCCAGAGGGTGAGCCTTCTTGTGCTCGGCAGAGATCTTGCCAGCCTCAACGAGGGAGATGTTGAGGTCAAGGCCGTTGGCCTTGGCGACAGCCTTGATGGCGGTGGCACGAGGTTGGTCCTGCAGGACGACAAGAGTGAGCAGCCTGTCATAAAAAGAGACGTTACGCGTGAGAGGGTGAGAGACTAACGGCGGTGGTGAAGAGAGTTCCGAAAGCCATTTTGACTGATGCTTGACTGGAAAGTTGAAGCTTGAAAGGAAGAGAAGAGGGATGGGGCGACGAAGGAATTTTTTTTTTTTAATGAGGGGATGTAGCTCTGCCCCGCGCGGTGGCTGGCGCAGCAGCGGTTACAGGGGCTGCTGTGGCTGGTGCCGCTGTGCTGCTGTTCGCTATCTTCACGTGATTGTATTGGATTTTCGCAGCCCCAGTCGTGTGCTGCAATCGAAAGTGAGGTTATCGAATTTGAGGTACCACGACTCGAGAGGACCGGATCGGACGGTGTTTTGGATCTCCTCAACCCAGCGACGAATAGCAATGGCGTCAATTGCAAGCGGCCTGCGGCATGCAAGGTGCGCAAGCTCGATTGCGGCGGCACCATGGCGATCATCAATCGTTCCACGACCAAGCTTCCAGCTTGCAATTCGCTCTATAACCAACGACGTCCAAAAGCCCTCCAACACCGACCTTGAAGCCTCCTCCGCTGCTGAATCTGTATTGATTCCGTACCAGGGCGTGACCCACGCGCGAGTCCTACCGGCAACTCCATCATACTTTTCGAGAGAACCTCTATTCAACGACTTATACATTGGCATCTCCAAGCTGCTCACCAAATACAACCACCTACCCACAGTGCCCCCCAGCGAGGCTCCGCAGATGCCATGGACGAAACTGGAGGAGATGCGAGCACAGATGGGAGAACCTATCAAGTCTTCACATTACGCAAAAGTTATGCGGGTGGCTAAGCGCCTGAATCTCATTGAGCCCAGTCTACGGCCGGCGGAGGTTACGGTTGCTCTGACGGAGTTTACTCGAGATATTAACCCCTTCTTGAACATGCCGAACCCGATTCAGATTGACAAGTTTGGGCGTGCCGTCGGTGTTGGCAAGAGAAAAGAGTCAACTGCTCGCGCATTCGTTGTGGAGGGTACCGGAGAGATTCTAGTAAACGGCAAGACATTGAGCGAGGCTTTTGGTCGCGTGCACGACCGTGAAAGCGCAGTCTGGGCTCTCACTGCTACCGAGAGGCTGGACAAATACAACGTCTGGGTCTTGGTCGAGGGAGGCGGCACAACAGGGCAGGCTGAGGCTATCACCCTGGCCGTCGCAAAGGCGCTGGTTGCTCACGAGCCAGCATTGAAAACTGCTCTAAGAAAAGGTATGTCATATGAATTCTCTGCTATTTTTGTACCCTGCTTCTGGCACCGACGGGAAGCTAACGTTGTATCCGCTCAGCCGGTTGCATTACGCGCGATCCCAGGACAGTGGAGAGGAAGAAGCATGGACATGTCAAGGCCCGAAAGATGCCTGCTTGGGTCAAACGATAGAAGCTGCGCGGATCCGGATTTTTTTGCGGCGTTTGAAAGCTCGCATAGGCGAGATTACGCAGGATACTTGCGTAAGAACAAGCCCGAAGGAACGGCTTACCTAGGCATGTTGGCAGCGTTACTGTACCATCCACAACAAAAAAAATGTATTTATAGAACCCTAGACGTTGCTTCATGGGGCAATTGGGTTATCTTACGTCTTACCCATGCTTTAAGTAGCATATCATAATGAAGTATGACTGGAACAAGCACTGTGCGCTGTAGCCGCTCGAGATATGCGAATAGCGAATACATCTAAACGTCAAGGATGAAATTCATTCCGTATATGGGTCTAACATTCAATAGATCTGAGAGGTCAGGAGATCCACCTCTCATTCAATCAACTCATATCCATGCTAGTATAGGAGAGCTGAAGGTTGAAAAGAAAAGAAAAGAAAAGAAAAGGGCGTATAGCGTGGGTATCAGCATCGCGTTTACGTATCGTATCACTCGTAAGCGAAGGCTCGGCGAATTGACATATCATCAGCCTTCGCCGCTCACTCAGCTGCACAGCAACAGCAAATGAGGACTGCGCGACCAAGACTTGATGTGATCAGTTCTTTGCTTTTTCGCTCTACTTTTTTCTTTCTCGGTAGATTTTCCGGTTTCGTTCCTGGACAGTGGCATCGGTCCCATATCCTGGTCGCCCGGGGCGATTCCAAGATGCTGGTAAGGATGGCAAACTGGAAATGCTACCCGTGCCAAAAGAGGAAATCGGCGACGTCCGGCAATCTATTTCCTTTTATCCTGAACCTTGTAATTCGTCCCTGGGATTATGAGGCTGGCAAACCTTCCTGCGACATGGGACGCTGCATTAAACAATACCGGAGCTTTGTGAATAACCAGTTCGTATTCCGCAACGGCTCTCGATGTCTTCGAACGCAGTCTTTCCTAACAAGTTATAATTTGAGGAATGGTGGTCTACGTATTGCTATCGTGCGTGCTGGGACATACCGTAAAGGGGCTGAGAATTGAGAGAGACTTCCCAATACGAGATACCAAACAGGGATCTCACAGTGTACCTTTGGCTGTCCAGGCAGGTTACATGCTCGCCTCGTTCTGTATGTGGTAGTCATCAAACCAATCGGTCGGATTGGGTCCTTGAGCTCAATACAGAATGATCTCAGCTCAGGTTTTGTCACATTAACCATTACCGATATAGGATGCCCATTTGCTGGAGCCTCGAGACTATGATGGCCAGCTTTATTCTTGGCTAACAATTCCTACCAATGACGTAAAATGGCGTCCCAATATTGGCAGATGCGGCTGAGGCTGCGCGAAGCCGGCTGTGCCAAGTATATTGGTGCCATTATTGCCATTCCAGGGTAATTGGCCAAAGGAAGACCAGGCGTCCAATTAATGGCCGTATAATTTGCCCAAGGGTGGCGCAGGCGAGATTTCTTTTTCGCCAATGACAATAAAGCATGTCACAATGAATATGCAGGCATGTACCGGCCATCAGGCAAGTTACATTTGCTCAAGAGAGTACTAACAGCGTCATCGTATCATGAATGGCTCAATGAGATCGCCTCACTCTACGCCCCGCCCTTTCGCCTCGCTAAGACCCGAGTCGAAGTGGGATAGGGTAGCAAGCAGCGTATGATCGGCGCTTGTTTTGGTCGCCTGTCAAATCTCTTTTGTGGCAAGCCTAAACCTGGTAGAGGCCAGGCCTGACTTATCAAAGTCGAAACTCTGGCTGCAGGGGAGCACTTCATGTGCACGGAGCATAGGCGGTTGGGGTAAAACGCGACCAGGTTCTTGACTAGCACCAGAGCTGCCCGTTCCCCACAGAGCAGCTGAATGTCGGGCATTAGCCTGATGTGCCAGGCTTGCCCGCATATGCGAGTTCTCTTTCGTTCTTCCTCCTAACGACCACCAGGGCACATGCCTGTACGGGTATGTAGGCTAGATAGCGGCACCAGATCCGCGGATAGTCTTTATTTATGGCACGTCAAACGGCGCAGGGAGGCTAGATAGAAGGATTAGCCTGTGCTTCCTGGTACATATGTTCCGCCAGGCTGGCTGCGCCTTGCAAGTACCTGCTGGGCGGTAAAACCAATAATGCTACTCCTTTACGCTCCGGATGTAACCCAGTGGTGGTGCTCCGTATTAGCAGTACTATGTAGCAGTAGCAGTAGCAGTACTAGCAGTAGTAAAGCTCCATAGCAAAGGTAGCATCCCCCAAGGATTGGATAGGCATAAAAAGAAAACGTAGCTGTTTCAGACGGTAGATGCGGGCCTGTGAGACATCAGGCCACTCCTCCAAACTCCCCCGACCAGGATCGTAGCGGCCCAACGTCTTTAATATTATGCGTCCACCGATGGTAGGCGCCTCGTTCTCACGATATCTCTTTTTCGGTGCCTTGTGATTAGTAGGACCTACATCCAAGTACCGTTGCTATTATTACCCGAAACAAGTATTGCTGCTGACAGCATGATGTGGCGGTAGTACATAGATTGAGGGATGAGGTATAATCGATGCCCTTCTCAATTCCGTTAGCGCGCTTGCTCCATAGGTGGTTTTGTGCCTGTGTAAAGTGTACGACCTGCCTTCCAAATCGCCAGATCTGCTTTAGCATACGTCGAAAAGACGCTACTTTTTTTTCAGCAGCACATGGATCACGGCTATTAAGAAAAATTTATTCTTAGGTGCCACGCTACGCAAAGCCGCGCCATCTCCACACGCGCTTTTGGCCCTCTCAGTGGCTGCTTGTCGATGGAGTCGTTGTGGAGGACTGAGACCTTTGGCCCTTAGCACGGCCCTAGCGAGGTACATTTTGCCTGTATTTGCTTGCTGCGAGCTCGCAGATTGGCTGCCTTGGACCTGCGTGCAGCATGCGCTATCCAGCAAAAAGCACGTTACTGTGGACTTTGACGCACGCTGCACATGGCCTCCCGCGCAGGGCCTCCACTCTGCGATCGAAGCTGCGCGGTCCCCTGGTCACAAGATGGCGAGTTGGCTGAGGGAGAAAAGAAAGGAAGAGAAAAGAAAGACAAAGAGAAAGAGAAAAAGAAAAGAAACAAAGAGGGTAGAGAATTCACGCAGACAGTGAATGATGCCATAAGTCTGGACCCTACTTGGAGTAAGATAAGCTGCCTTACCCGTCTCTATACCGACTGCAAGCGCCAAGTTTTAGCACCCCTTGCTCCTGCCTTGGAACACCAGTAGTTTGTGCTTCCAGCAAAGGAAAGTGCATTCTAATCTAACTTCACGTTTGGGCCCTGTACGAGTACCACGCAAATACACTGCGTCCAGCGAATAATGACCATGATAGTATATGTACTGCCTGGGTAGATAGTACATTGGAGTATTTGTGTTTGTGTTTGTGCCTGTGTTTTTCGCACAATTCCAAATATGGAGCCATCCTCTACCTGGTTGGGGGCCATTTTCTTCAACTTCAAGTCCTTCGCCCTCCCTCCTCTTCTCGTTCTTTCGGCCCAGCTCTAGGCCCAGCTTCTGGCACAGCGCTCAACCAACTGTCAAAGCCCCTGCAGGTAGGTGGCTTGGCTTGTCCAACGGGTGTGTCGATGTTTGGGGGGTGTGTGCGCCTTCACCAAGCGGTCTAGGCTAGAGCAACTGGCCTGTCTTGAGTTCAACATCCCTTTGCTTCGTCCAGCTGGGCTGGGGTCCTGGTGGGTAGCACGCGTGAAACAGGATGAGCGTCTTGTCTGGTGATTTGCTCTTGTGTTCGGTGTCTTTCGCCTCTGGCTGAGACACATAGGCTTCCTCGTCAAAAGGGAGCCAGAATACGGACAAATCCTCATTTCAAGCGCATTGCACATCGCGCAGTTGAGACGACCCGGGTTGTCGGGACGCTGTTTGGCGGACTGGGATCTGTCTGGGACAACCCTAATGCCTGGCCATTCGACGGGGAATTTCCCCTGTTGGCTGACAGGCTGCTGTTTTTGATCGACGTTTGGCCATACTTGTAATAGCCTGTTGGAAAACAATTTTCATGTGGGCAATGAAACTTCGGTCATCCCCGTGTAGTGGACTAACTGTGCAAATAGACCACTCGCTGCCAAGCTGCTGGGGCCTGATTAGCCACGGCAAAACAGCCGGCACACAAGCGCCGTCATACATAGGCTTTTGCTAACTACAGTCTGGTCTGACTGGCACGATATGAGCAGTTTCCGCTGCTTACCGCCGAGTCCCTTTCTACTTAAAGAGGGAAGCAATGAAATTACACGTCGACTGTTGGGGAATATCGGCTTGAGCAGAAAGAAGGAGAAGAAAATCCCTGCTTGATGAGGGTTACGCGTCATTATTCAGCGATATTTTGCTGCAGATGATCCAAGGGCTGCAAGACAGCCAGGAGTCTCAAACGCTCTCATTCATGCAAACGCTATGCTATGGCTTCTCCTACACGTCTGTGGCGCGTTTCTGATTCTCGCCCTACGTGCAATGCGTCTTTATTCGCAGAATGGCAGAGCAGCTGCCTGAGCATTATCGTGACAAAACTGTTACATTGGCTAGCATTATGCCTAGCTATTGAACGCACACAAGTGGACGGAGGATACCCCATTCTTAGCACTCGCTTGCATTACAAAGCACCAGCCTGCCTGGACGCGAGAAGCGTTCCAACAGGCGGCGCTTTATGCCCAAAGGACTGGAATGAAGCCTCGTTCACAGAACTTCTGTTACCAAAAGGCGAGAAACCGGATCATGTTGCCAAGCCTAAACCATCGCCGTGCCCACCTACTAAGTCAAGATGCGAATCCACTTTGTTTCGTGTCTGTGGTCTTCGGCGGAGAACAGCGACTTCTTTGTTTCCGCCCTAACCAAGACTGATTTTTCACATGTGCTTCTGCCCAATTGCGAGCCTTGGAGCAAGATCGACACGCTTGTTGGCCTGCGATTTCCACAGGTACAATATACAAAGTACGGAGCACTGCCTTTAATTTATTTTATTTTTTTGTCACTCGTCCGATTTCTCGCTGTCCTTTTATTTTTCCCTTGACCCATCGGAAGGGCCCCCTTGTCTTTGTACTTGTCCGACACCTTTGTTCCGCCATGCCGGATGACCAGGGGGTGGCCACATGCAGATCCTAAATCGACAATTCAAACTCTCACACTCCTAGCTGCAGACTAGTGACAACCTATCAGCTTGACTCGCCCCAAGTTGCTTCTTTAGGGCCAACGCAAGGTACAGAATACGACGGGGTGTCCAGCACCCCGGGTCGTGGTCTTTTCTTCTTTTTGGTACCCTG